TTGGCATGAAATAATAGTCATAGTAAAATAAATGCTTGGACAGTTTATTTAACAACGTCATATAATTAATTTTAAGCTTTTGAAACAAGAACTAATTGTTGTGTAAGGCATTAATGTACGCATTTCACATATACAAGTCCTGCTCTACCCTGATATTCGATCTTCAACGGGTCCTTCCTCCTTTCTCTTCTCACTATTCTCTTGGATAGAGAGTCCAGCTTTTTTTCTGCTTCTGCTTGGCGCAGCATGACTCTTTGAACCACCTTCATCTTCATCCATCACGGAACCAATAGTTTGTGTTTGCATCTCCAGAAAATCATTCAATGCTTTCTTTAGCTGCAATAAAGATGACCTTAACCCGACGTCCTTCTAAAAAATGATCAAAAAAATTTAAGATGGTTTGTTGCGATACGCGGGACAAACCAAAAATAGCTTGGAATTTAGTATTTTCCGAACTCGGAGTAGTGCAGTATTTGTTCAGATTGTACTGTTAAATGCAGATTGAAATGTTCTAGAGTTTAGCCTAAGCTGCTTCATCTAACTCTCGATTGAAGCGACTTATTGGTAATTCGATTAGTGTGACGCTCACTAGAGCAGCTTACCTCTTGACTTGGCTTCAGTGGTATCACTGGTTTAACTCCTCTTGATCTCTAAATAAAGAATACGTTCTGCCACCTATCTTTTCCAAGATTTTATTCCACCTTAACTCGTCGTTTCTTTCTTCTTCTTCTCCTCTCTTCTTCTTTGTCTAATGCTTCCATCAATTTTAATTTTGACCTTCGTTTTCTTCGCTCCATTATACACCAACTAATTAGAAGAACAGCTACCAAAAATATGAAAATAGCTGCTATTATCAAAACTACTTCAAAGGTCAAATTTGACGCCGCTTGTGTTGTTTCTGGCATTCTAAAGACAATATTTGAGTAAAAAGATGAGGTATTGAAATTTTAAAAAGATTGAAGAGAGGTAAAAATGCATTACTTAAATTGCGATGGTGTCGACAATCTAGTTATCGGAACCAAAGGAAGAAAAGTGCTTTTCATATCATCCGCTGATGTGGCCATGACCGAATCTATCTAGATTTTACTAATATGAGTAGTAATAATATAGTAATAATATTATTATATTCATGACAACCCCGCAATTCGTTTTGGTTAGATGACAGAGCCAATCTGATTCTTCGTATGAAAAATACTTAAAAAATAATATTATATTCATAACAATCCCGCAATTCGTTTTGGTTAGATCTTTAGGTTTTGGACAGAAAAGATGGACCAATGTCAATTTTCTGAGCATCGGTACCGCACAATATTTGTTCCGGGTTTAGAATTAATTTGACGACGCTACAATTCACCTTATGCCCCGCTTGCTGGGACTGAAATGACACCTAAAAACAGCTTGTAAAGTAAAACTTCTTTAGAGAGGAACATTTTGGAACACTCACTTGGAGCCACCTTTCTTCTGATAAGAGTTATGTAAATGATACATACCTTCATCAAAAAAAGTATCAAACCAAGATTATGTCACTGATAGGTTGTACTCGGTTATCACATGGCATTGAATCTAGTTTTCCAAACAAATCGCAATTTGCCTTTTAAATTCACAGGACAGCTTATTATAGAAATACCATTTTTTGCAGCACACCCACAGGCAAGTTAAAGAATATCTTAAGTTATTGACTCATGTACAGCCGAGTGCACGGAACAAAACTTCCAGACCGCTATGTTCCCAGTGTTGGTGCCGCTGTTTGAGAAACGCTAATCTAAGGTCATTTCGTAGAGCCAATTTACAGTTAGACCCCTTTTTTCCCAAGCAGTGTAGAGGTTAATTTGCACTCGGAATCCCTATACATTTCCGGCTCTTCAAATGGCTCAATCATTTGATTCATCATAACAAATAAAGCAGGTTATGCAGGTTATCTATTTTCTCTAATTTCATGACTTCTTAGAGGCTTTTGCGGAGAAAGCAAAATGCCGGCGCTTGACGACTGATACTTAAGTCAACTCTTTTAAGCAGTGCCTACAGTAAATATAAAGCATCACGAAATCCGGCAATAGCGCTAGTTAATGGAGGTACTAACGATCAAGACTTCATCGTAGCTTGGAAGACAAACCTAATCTCTTAACTTTCACGAACGTTCTCGACGATTCTTCTCAAAACCTATTTTTTCTTTGCGAGAGCTCCTATAATGTCTCTGGCAAGACCATGGACGAATTGGCTTAGTGGATTAGCGGTGTTATGGGTTTAGGTAAGCGCAAAGAAACGTCAGCAGACTACTATATCCGGTTTTCTCTGGCTGTGCGGTCAAACCGTTGACAGACCCTATCACATCTGCCAGTTTTACTTTATTGAACCTCTTCTTGCTCGAATGCTTGTTGCAATGAATTCAGGGTTAGAACTGTGCAGAAGTAATGCTTTATGACAATGCCAGCAGATTATTTATTATGACTCTCAGTTCGATAGTATATGTTCCGCACAACAGATACCAAGCATTTCACAAGCATATAGGTAAAAACGAGATCACTGCTTCTACAAAAATGAAAATTGGCAGAAGACTGAGAACAATGAAAACCCCAGTTCCGTACGGCCTTTAAACAAAGCTCGATTTTATCAAATCAGTATGGAGAGTTCATGCCAAGCTTTGTATCAAAGCCTAGTTTCGTTCGACGCTGCTCGCGAGCAAAACTGCGAATCGAACGCAGTTTGACTAATTCATTGACCAGCAAGACAATTAATGTCCATACAACAATCGCTGCAACGGAGAAAAAGGATAGAACTTCGTGCAAAGGCACTGCAGATCCGTAGGAGAACACTATCTGCAAAGAAAAAGATAGTGAAAAGCTCAACAAGAGCGAGTTTCAATTGCAATTCATTGTACCTGCACTCCTATACACAATATACCGGATGCCATCCATGGCAAACAGAGCACTGGGTTTTCGTTCCAGAAAGAACTGAGCGGGTAAACCCAGGCAGAAGAAAGCGCGCAGAGAGAAATTGCTTGCTAAAAGCATAATGCTAGGAATGTAAATGCAAGAATCGCAAAGGACTTACATGAAAACCGACAATGTGTCTTATAGATATTGTCGATAAGGGGACTTCTGACAAGTGGCCGGTAGCGACCGAGCAGACAACATCGACGAAGGAACAAGCCACTGTGGCGTTACCGACTAGCTGACAAGGGGTAGTTTTCGTAAGTGCTCACGGTAATAGTAATTCTATTATCTACCAAGAAAAAGAAGACTATGACTAGAAATAGTGAGGTAGGAAGGAATCCAACAAGAAAAGTGATTGCTGCCCATGAAATGCTTTGCCGATGTACCGCAGTAGAATTCTGCAAAAGAACTTAGTTCGTTGAAAAAGCGACTATTAGATTATTCAACGTAATATTGAAAAGCTCCTGGTTTAATTCTCTACCCTTATTTTCCTAATGAAAATTATGCCGATTATCCTACCTTGGAAGAGATGCGAATTACGTTTGTTTTGGGATGGAAAGGGGTGAACACAGAACCCAAAGTCAGGCAAGGTACTTGTATGAAAACAGTGAGAAAAACCTGCAACAGTATCACCTGTTATAGCACCTTCTCTTCCGTATAAGTAAAAGTAGTGCTCAATCACTGACCTGATCATAGTCGAACAGCAATGGCAAAAAACCGATAGCAGTGAGCAAAAGGGACAAGGAGAGCATGCAAGAACTGAAGAAATAGAATGCCAATGACCCGCGAAGTGACGCTAAACGATGTCGACAAGCGACTATGAGAGGAGGAATTACAAGCATCTGAAACTTCCACAATTCAAAACAAATCTCTAAAATTGAGAAGAATATCCTACCCTATCGTAGGCTAGTCGGAAGTCACTAGCAGCACCCATGAGACGATCGACGATCTCCTTCGTCTGTTGCCAGTCATTTGCTGGATTAACGCAGCAGCTCCAGTCTCCTACCGGCAGAATACTCATTGAGACATCTGCCTTAAAAAAATAGATATAAAAAAAGTAATTGTGAAAGTCCGCCCTTTCAATACTTCTATAATTCAATTTCCGCAAAAGTTTGCATTTAGTAAATTCCGATGCAAACTAGCAACATTTAATTGTTTCGGAGCTCTATGCTTTGTTGCTAAAAGGGAAAAGACTCACTGTCAAGAAAATGCTCGTATTCGCAACTGATAATGAAGAACCAATGGCCAATACCAATTCACCATACTCCTAAAACCTTGGTTTTAACTCTGTTTCCTGTAAGCACATAGGAGACATATAAACCTGCATAATTTCGAGCATTTCTAAATTTGCTTGAGGGGTACAGTCAGTAATGAGACTGACGAGCAGCGGCACATTATCCACTTGTTCCAGATGCGGTCGAACAGCGGCAATTCCTGTTGGAAGCTGAGCTTTGTTTGGGAGCACAACAACCTAGAGAAAAGATAGAGTTACATTCGTTAAATTTGACAAAATAGAGAAAGAGTTAGATCAGTTTATTCTCACTTTAGAAGGTGCTTGACTTTCTCTTCTAATCAGAGGTGACTCTTGGTCATGAGAGGAAGTATACTTTAGGTGAAGCTGTTGATCAGACCTGGAAACAGCTAAAAAGCGCTGAATTCATGCAATGAGAAGGTAAGGTGCTCACCGTGACTTCTTAAGAATTGAATTAGCATGATTTGATGCATTGCGATAGGCTGAAATTCTGCATTAATGG